TAAAGGTCTGCAGCTTCAACAGCTTTATTCAAAATAGATATGAAAGCATGTAGCAGGCCAGCAGATGCCTTGCATTTTTAAAAATACTAAGCCTTTATCTTTTCTTGTTTTCTTTATATCACATATTTAATTTGTTCTATATCGGCCTCTCTCTCAGTATGCACAGAGCAGATGTGCTGCAGTCGTACTTTACAGGTCCTCTTCTGCGGGTCACTCTTGAAATGTTCCATCTTTCCCATCATCTTGATTCTTTCTGGACCCCGATGGGTTAGCTACGGCAGTCACCCAGCTGCCAGGGAAACGCGCGTGGTGTGTGTGTGTGCATATGAGAAAAGGCAGTGGAAAAATGGAAATAGATCATTCATGGCTAAAAGCTGAGAAGAGAAAATCAGTCTTTCTGCCAGTTTCCCAGCATGCATGTCTCTCTGGCTGGCAAAGAAGGAAGTTCACGCCAACACACAGCTGAGCCAATCCTCTATTGTTTCCGTTCCCATCATTATACATTTTACTATTGTCTGTCCCACTCTCCATAATGTGTGTGCAGAGCTCCAGTGGTTAATAGCTTATTTGAAGTCTACTGTACTGGCACATATGGACAGATATCAGACTAATGAAAACTTTTTCATTGTTTGACTACAATTCTATAAGGGCTATGTGCAGTTCACCTCCTCGTATTCTCAAATGAGTCGACATATCTGCCCCTGACCACGCTGTAGCTTCGTTCATTGTATCTGCAGTCAAACAAAGCCCGTATTCCAGCAGACAATACCCACTGCCTTGCAGCGTTAGCCCATTTCAATAAAAGCCAAGACAGTGGCTGCCTTGTCCAAATGATTGTTCGCTATTGTCTCTCATTCTCGGGGGAAATTGAACTCTATTTAAAGTAACAAATCATGGCATTTTATATATATTGATGAACTTATTTGCTTACTTGCGGAGAATTAGATGAGAAAATCAAGGTCATTCTAATGCCTGGACTCCAAATGTCAAGCTACCACCAGCAGCCAGTTAGCTTAGCTTAGCACTTAGCATCCAAACAAAAACTGAAGTGTTATAATAGTATGTTGTAGTTTTACAGGGGTTTATATGCCAGGATTTGTTCTCTGTTGGTTACCTGTCAACCTGAGGGTGATGACGAGACTCGAAGAAGTTACCAAAGTTGCTTGTAGGTAGCCTTTGCCCCTGTTTTTGGCCTTTAAGCTAAGCTAAGCTAACGGCTGCTGGCTCTAGCTTCATATTTACCGCACAGATATGTATGTGTATTATGTCTGTGTGGTATCAATCTTTTCATCTAACTCTCCACAAGAAAGCAAATGAGTGTATTTTTTAAAAACGTCAAACTATTCCTTTAAAGCCAATTTTGCTTTATCTAAGTCTATTTATTCTATTCTATTTTAGTCTATTCATCTATTAGTTCATGAAAAGTTGTACATCAGATGTTCACTCTCTAGAAGTAATGCCTTTTACCATCAGAGAGTTCACTCAAGCTTCACAATCACTGGCTTGTTCCCAGCTATGCAGCAATCAGCTGACTAGTCACATCTAAACATATTCATACATACATATTAAGATGTATAGTATTACCATTATAACCATTATAACACGATCACTCACACCGTTACTCTGCTCATACAATCCTGTCAATTCAGTTCCCTAGCCTCTAAATAGGGGCATTCATGTTTTTCTTGAGTTTTGTCACCACCATCTCCTTCGCACTTGGAAGGGGAGGATGATCTGCGATCTGCAGTTACACTGCTGGTTGACACGAAATCCTACACACTGGACCTTTAAATGAATTGCTTGGACATATAACATAGGCGAGGATAATGTTGATGTCATCATGAGATGTGAGCTATTCTTTCACCAGACAGTCAAGATCATTCCCTTTAAGCAAGAAAGGAATAGATCAGAATACATCATTTCTGGTATTTCAGCTGTTGAATTTACAGTGAAACACCCTTTGACCCACAACACAGAGATGGCAGAGAGCGGGCAGACTCAGCTGTTAGCAAAGTGGGTCAGAGCAGCTGGCGTGATCGCATGAATATTTAAAATGAAACAGCTCCAAACTGAAGCCTCTGTAACTATCACGTTGATACCAAGCAGTGTTAAACAATGACAGCATGTTGTACAGCTCCAGCTCCCTACTGAGCAGCTACTGAATGTTTCTGCCTACACAGAGAGGAGGGGCAAAGTTGTCCAAAGAGGAATGGAAATGTAGAGAGAAAACAAAAAGATGTGGACTACGAAAGGGCGGGATGTAGGAAGGGTCAAATCAAACTGTGGGAGTACATTCAGATTTTAATTTGAGGAGATCTTTGAAAACTTAGAGGGAATGTAATTGAATTATTTGGTGTATGAATTGCGTGCACATGAACTGTAATACCTCAATTATCTAACACAAAATGAATAAAAGAGAGCACCGTTGGATGACAGATAGATCAGTGGAGGCCAAGAGACAAAGAATGGAAACAAACTTTGTAATTAACTCAACACAGAGAAATGTTGACAGGCAGAGCCAGACGGACTGACAGGTTAAAAAAAAGAAAGAAAAAAAACGAAGAAAGGAGGAGAGCGTACGGGAGGGAGAGTCATGACTGGAGGATGGATAGAAGTAGGTCAGGAGGAGAGATGAGGGAGACGTGTAGCGAGATGGATAGAGAGAAGGAAATAAAGGAAAGAGACAGTTTGGCTGCGTCTTCTCTACCTCTCTATCTTTTCAGTTGTCTGTCTGCACACGGGTGTCTTTTTAACGTGTGCGCACACAACCACACATTCGGGCATGTGCGTGTCACTGTGATTGACAGCTCCTCGCCAGCAGCTCGCTCCACAGCCAAAGACTTCATAATAAACAGAACATGGTTTAATTTACTCCTCCAGGCAAAGCGGCGCTGCTCACTTTGCTGTCTATTCATAAACAGGGACACACACACGGAAGTACAACACACTGTAAAAAATATTCATCTTGCCAAATTATTTGATAGATATTGATTTTTTATAAGAATTTTATAACTGACATTTGAATTCTGCTCACATTTTGTGTAAATACTGCAATGATACCGCAGCTATTGTGCTCTATTTTTCAAAAAAAAGATGAAACTGCTTCTTGGACATACTTCTGGAAACGGCTTCCAAACTTTAGGCCTCTGGCTGGTTTTCCCTTGACACTTGACTGACACTTGAGAGCCAGTGTTGCTAGGAGACACGCTGTCAACTGTGGTGCACTTGTAACTAAAGTGCGCCAAGGCCCCTGTGTAGCTAACGAACGGGAGGCGGCTCCATCCACCCAGGTGCTGTGGCTGTCTGATATCTGTCCACGGTGGGATGTTGACTCGGAGAGGCCCGTCGTCACGGCTACACCAATGACACGGCTGGATGTGGGTTAGCTTCCTGGGTGGCAGCTCTCATTCAGCCAATCAAGGCAAACAGGCCACGCTCTATTTAATGATTATCCCAGCATCTGTCCCCTATCTCTCATCTCTGTGTGAAAGCCGGCAAACACACGCGCAAATACACTCACAGGAGCTCAGTGAATCCCATCCAGCCGAGTGGCTCGATTCCTGCTTTCATCGAGTAATTTCATCTCAATTTAATCAAATCTAGAAATGACGGGAAGTGCTTGTGTGCATTATAAACAGGCCGTGTGCCCGTGATTCATTATATAGTTAGTGGAGAACGTGGTTAATAGAGGATGTGATTACAGCAGCAGCAATTAATGCCAGTCCAATAAAATACATGATTACCACATTTGGAACGTAATCTCGGTTGTTATCCCGGTGCTGAATAGAAAGGCAATACAAAGATCGGCTTTATCCTGTTTCCATTCTGTTAACCTTTACTTACAGCAACAAGAGTGTGCGGGTGATAACGTTTACATTGTTCCACATTCTTGCTGCAGCTTGGCAAAGTGTATTGATTTCATTTCCTGCATTTGTTTTGTGGAGAAGATCCCATCCTCTTCTGCACTTTTATCCTTTCGAGGCGACGGCAGAATTGGTTTCTGCCTGGTCACCTGGATATTGTGAATCACGTTGTTGTTCAGCTGGTGCTCAAACCGTGAATTCGCTGTGTAATTGATAGCACAGACGTTTGTGAGTGTGCTTGGACGCCTGCCGCCACTCTCTATCTTCCCTGCATTAGGATGCAGGTGATCAATAAACGCACCGTTTTCCTCAGCTGTAAATCATGTGAATGCTCAGGGACTCCCTGCGGGCATGGATGGAGGAGAAAGAGACAGACAACAACAAGGAGTGCCGGTCTGATGAATATAACGATAAACAGGAGAGAGGAGTGAGATGTGCTAAATGGGAGAGCGAGGCGGAAACTGAAGAGACACCTTGAGAGAGAAAGAAAGGCTAATATTCTTGATTTATCAGCCAGGCAGAGATGAATGCAAAGAAGAAAGCTGACTGTGGCCGCTTATTGCGTCCCGCGGGATGAATGCTCACTATTGCACTGTTTGTCTTTGGTTGTGTAAAAAATGAAGTGCAAAATCAATAAAAATGTTAATCAGCATAAGAAAAAAACTTTGTTTTTCACTTTCAATTTAGCAGGCCACTAGATAGAAGATAGAAAACAACCTGGACATTAATCTACCAAGTCTATTTCTTTTTGTGGTGATTCATTTGTAAATTATACCATGAATTACACTCCGCTGTACTCCCACCTTTGTGTCTCTCACAGAGCAATAAAATGATAAAGTTATTTATACTGTATTAACTCTAAATAATATTTTTAAAAGATTCTATCACTGTTTTTGCTTGTCATAGAGCTTAGTACGTTCAGCAGCTATTGAGGTAACAGGAGAGTGATTGGCAGTGACACAGTACTCATCATCTCACGGTTATTCTGTGTAATGAGACAGAAAAATATTTATGATTGCAAGACTGAACACCAGATTCAATTATTTGATAATATCAATATTGTTATTCATAAATACAATGTGTTGACTGCTGTCTCTCGAGATACAAGACCTAAATGGTTACTCTTTCTGCCTCCAGGTGAGACCGGTGCAGCCCTGTCACGCCCACAGCGCCCCCTTTCGGCCCGGACGGCCCACCATGCCCCGGCGCCTATGAAAGGGTACCATGTCAGCCGTAGCATGTCCCAGCATTCCTCCGGTGGTGGCGGAGGAGGCCCCTGCCACTGTGCGCCTGAGGACTGTGATGGCCCGGGCAGAGAGTACTACCAGGGTCACAGCGATGGCCACTATTACCCTCCAGGAGGTCCAGCTGAGGCCCTGGCACTGGAGAGACACCATTCCCACTCCCACTCGCACTCCCATAGCCACTCTGGAGGGGGAACCTTCCCCCGCTCTCACCCCAGCCAGCACCCACCTCTCCAGTCGTTTGACTCTTGCGAGGAGTGCCTGTCCTCTGGCCACGGAGGGAAGATGCATCGCATTCCCCCGAACCTGATAGACCAGTTCGAAAAGCAGGGGCCCTTTCATCCTGATGGCTTCCACACACTGCAGTACCAGCGCACCACAAGTGGGAGTGCTGAACAGCGCAGCGAGAGCCCCTCACGTATCCGCCATCTGGTCAACTCTGTGCAGCGCCTCTTTGCCAAGTCCCATTCCCTCGAGGCACCTTCCAAACGGGAGTACAACGGCACGAGAGGCGGGGACTACCGTAGCGAGAGAGGAGGAGGCCACAGGAGTGGAGGGGAGGATGGAGGAGGCCACTACTCAGGCCACCAGCCTCGCTCTACCAGGAGGAGCAAGTCTCGAGAGCGTAGCAAGAGTGGAGACTCAAGACATGAGTCGGGCAGACGCCACCGCAGCAGGACAGCAGGCTGGTGGAGCTCTGACGACAACCTGGACAGCGACAGCAGCTTCATGGTCAGTGGGGGCAGACGGGGGTATCCCAGTGGACACGAGAGCCTAGATGCAGCCATTCAGGAGCTCACCATGAAGAGGCCCAAAGAGCGCAGTGGTGGGCCGGCGCCTGGGGAGTGCATTGCCTGTACCACCATGGCTCTGACTGGGAATGAAGGAGGGGGGCACCATGGGCACCACGGCCACTCCCTGAAAAGGAGCACCTGGTCAGCCATGACAGTTAGTCAGGCCAGGGAGGTGTACCCTTCCACCAGGGGAGGGGGCTACGACAAAGCCCTTGTTCCCGTGGAGAGTAAGCTGAAGGAGAGGACCTTCCACTACCTGCAGGTGTGTGCATGCCTCCATATCAACTAATGTCTGTCTGTGTGTGTGTGTGTGTGTGTGTGTGTGTGTGTGTGTGTGTGTGTGTGTGTGTGTGTGTGTGTGTGTGTGTTTGTGTACAGATGGAATATAGTATATGGGATATGACCTGCAATAACGCAAGGTTCCATATGAAGAGTTCTCACAAAGAAAAAGGCCCTAGGAAAGAGTCTCATGCAGACCCTTACCTCCAGTTTTGCATCAAACATTTCATGACTTCTTCTCTAACTCAACTAACTCAGTCAAACCTGGGTTTACTCTTTCCAGTACAGTGCTCCTTATAACTTCAGCTCATCTCTGGTAGTTGTCAAATTTTGACTTTTTCTTCTGTTTCATAATGAATCTATTTGACTGTTATCTGTCCAGCCATGATTATTGCGCTAACACAACGTGCTAGCAGCTTATGCAGCACAACTTAATGTTGCAGATTTGCCTAAATGTAAAGAAATATAGGCTATAAATGGGGATTGTGTATGAAATTAAATTGTGCATGATGGAAACCCTAGTGCATACAAAAGTGATACAATACAGCAATCGATATCAATACAGTTTTTTCTCTATGGCATAGTATGTGCCATCAATCATATATCCCTGGGGCACTGACACTCTCTTATCTGTTTATTCTGTATATTTTCTGTGTGTTAAAACGCTTTTTGTGTCAAAAAACACGACGTGACACACGAAAACTGAGCAGCCCAGGGTTTAAAGGGTTAAACGTCCACCTGAGAGACCCCATGGACTGTCTTGGTATTTTGCTGTGACTCTGAAAACAATTGCTGTCACCCACGCAGAGATTATTTAATGTCTCTCCCAAAAGAGCATCCCCCAGTTCCATTCGCCTCTCTCTCTCTCTCTCTCTCTCTCTCTCTCTCTCTCTCTCTCTCTCCGTACCCAACACACGCAATTTCCCCTTTCTGCTTTCTCTCATCTTGTACGTTTACATGAATTCCCTGAAATGAAAAGCTAATGGCTGTGACACTGTACCTACAAAGTCATCTGAAAGAGCATACACACATAAACACACAAACACACACAAACATCCAGCTGTGCTGAGGTAGAGCCGCCATGCGGGCTGTGTTTCTACGGAAACAGCAGGTAGCCACAGGAGTCCCTGGTGTTTTTCCAACTCTCATCCTTTAGACACAGCTGAGGTCTACTGATAGAAGACACTGAGAGAGCAGGGTTGTGTGTGTTAGTGTTTTCAAAGGACAAACCCCACACAATTTGCCTCTGTGCCTTAGGCTACCATCACATTCACACCTTAGGACACGAAATGAACTTCCCCGCTGCAGCTTTTCTCATATCTCCAGGCGTCACTTGCAGTTTTGTGAGAAGGGGGGAGACAGCGTGTAGAGTGAATTTTGTGCTGAGCTTAGATGTGCTGAAGTCAGCCAGATTGATCCATGGCTTCAGAGCAGACAGCTTCCTGGAGCTGCAGATATAGAGCTGTTCACTCCTCAGTAGACCTCCGGACAAACGGCAGCGCAGGTGCCATATTAAAGCAGCACTTCCAAACCTCTGCCTTGTTCTCTGGAAGCAAAACTGAGTGCGGACAGAGTGTGTAGAGTCTAGATATCATATATTGAACTGACATTAGAGCGGCCATAAATATTTTTATATTAACTCGTCTATCTACTTGGGATTTGTTACAAACCTGACTCGTGGATTAGTCATGGAGAATTATAACCCAGGTCTGCATTTCTTCTAAACTCAACAGAGCAATATAGCCTCTTTTAGCTCATTGTTTTTATGGCCCGCAGCTTGCCATGGAAAAAGGATAAGGACATAAGAGATCAGAAGTAAAATCTCCTCATATACAGCAGTATCACCAAGTTTTTTGTGATCATAAAGTCATATATATATATAATAGTCTAATAGTCACAAAATCATTTTTGTGGCACAGAGAAGACATTGTGGTCCTTCTGAACAGAAACATAAAGCCTGCCTCGCAAATACAGCACATTTCATATCCATTCAAAAATGCCACAACTTTTAGTCAGAAAGAGACGAGTCGCAATCCCAAGCTACCAACTGGCAGTAGAATTAACATGTATATAGAAACTTATACTGACATGTCCACACTGGTCATCGCTCAAGTTTTGTTGCACAGAAGCAAGAAGTGCTCCAAGTGAAAATTAAAGGAACAAAAAAAAGAGTCAGTCTTCACAAGTCTGAATTATTGTGGTCAGAGGCAAAGGGACATGTGCAAGGTTTTCTCCCATGGTGTCAACGCCAATCACAATGTGCGGCATCAGAACGTGGTGCTCTCCATTCCCCAGGCCTCTCCTTTCCCCTCGGCCTGTGTCTGATAGATAAGGAATGATAAAAACGAGAATATGGAGCGAGAGTGAAATGAAGTCAGAGAGAGAGAGAGACAAAGATCGAGGGGGAAAAGAGCAAGGTAGAGGGATGCAGAGATAGCAAAGCAAGCTCAGGGATAGAGAAGAGATAAAGGAGGTGATGGTAGCCAAGGGGCAAAGCGAGAGGAGGAGAGAAAGAGCAGGATGAGAAAATGAGAGAGATAGTAGAAGGCCAGGGGGATCGGGAGATTAGGCTGAATCATCTTTTAAGTGATGACCTTAAAAACACACACTCAACTGGATGCCAAACCCCGGGGCCTTGACTGTGTGTGTGAATGTGTGTAGGTGTTTCATTGGGTCACATGCTTGTGTGAGGCTATACACCTCACAGCATTTGCAAAAAACTGAAAGATCGAGGGGTCTTTCACCACAAGCAGCTGCTGTTAAGATGGTGCAAAGCTTTCATAATACTGGAAAAGAAGTGGAATCAAATGGCAAGGACACATATCCAGCTGAGTTCCGTGTACAAGGTTGATAGGTATCCTCATCTGCTCTGATGTTAATTAAAGCTGCACTTGATAATATTTTTTTATCAACAATGGATCAGATGGCTATGTATAATGTCAAATTTACAAAAAAGTAAGTTTTTATGCTCTTTAACCTCATTGTTTTGGTTTACTGGCCTAGCTGGCTAAACCAACAACACAACTCCAAAATGTGGTTACTTTTGCTATTTGTCTGTTGATTCATGAAAAGAATAGGAATTGTTTGATGTGAACACATGTGCCACTGTTTTTCAGGTGAAAATATGTCAGATGTGTTTGTAGTTGTCCTGCTACCCCCAAAGTGGCCCCACTTCATAGCTGCCTGGCTCTCTATTTTACCAAAGTCAGGTCCCCAGAAATCATGTAATATTTGGGGGAATATTGTGGAATTTAAGAGGTGTATATCAGACAGTGACAATCAGGGTATTTAATCAAATCTGAAAGTGAATCATGGGATATTACAAAACATTACAAATAAGTCACCTCGTGTGAATATGCCAGAAATTTTTATTCACAACAGCTACAACAGCCCAGAGAGGGGAAACATTTTAAAGTGTTATGAAGGCATTCTGACTGAGTTATGAAAAGGCATTGATTTTACATGACGGCCACAGTGGGAACCTGTCAATGTAATTTTTGTGTTTCATTCCACAGCTCCTTATCAATTCTTAATGTGTCGTCTTCCTCCTTAGTTTCTTGTCTTCCTGACTGTGTGGGAGTTTCTCATTTTGTTTTCTCATCACTCTCATTCGTCTGCGCATCTGTCTTTTCTGCTTTCTGCCCTTCACTGTTCTTTGTTGTGTCCCCCGGTACATCTGTCTGTCTCTCTGTCTGCCTCTGTCTTACCTGTCTGTCTGCCTACATTTCTTACTGTCTTACCACCATGCTTGTCTACCTGCCTTTTTGTGTATTTGTTTATTTGCTCTCTGTCTGTCGGCTTCTAGCTTACGCTGTTTTTACCTTCTCCGTGTCAGTGTTTTTCCAGCTGTCAGAGTTTCTCTCTTTCTGTAAGTCCCTTTGTCCCTTTCTCTCTTTTGCTAACGTCACTTCCCACGTATGCATACATGTGCATGTATGTGTGTGTGCTCTCATCGTGTGCATGCTTGAGCAATCTGTGCGGGTGTGTTGGCTTTACACTGGGTGCATGTGTGCCACGACTGCGTGTCTGATTCATCGCTGTCCATCTGTTCGAGGTGTGAAATATTTTTCACTGATGAAATATATTTCTGTTTTGAGAAGTCTTTTGACTTTTATAACAGATATTGGGAAGAAGCTGCCAAGAGTGCAGTGAAAACATCTTCAATATCTCAACACTAATGAATTCACATTGTGATCAATTGCTTTTCCCTTAACAGTTGGTGTAGAAGAAGAATGCATACTTACTTTTAACCCATTTCTAGAAAATCTTACTAAAACTGAGTTTGACCATGTGTATACTCTACATGGTTCTGCGCTTGTACTCACTATGTGTTGCAGTTGCAGATGAATCCTACTCAGTCCTTTGTATATTTACCTATGACTATGTGAATATTCGTGCGAATGTGATTGTGTCTCAGGTCCCGTCAGAAGACTGGGGAGGTGGATATGGCGGCGGGGGCGGTGCAGCCGACAGCGGAGGGGAGATCCCATGCCGTCGCATGCGGAGCGGCAGCTACATCAAGGCCATGGGCGACGATGACAGTGCTGACTCAGACACCAGCCCCAAAGCCTCACCGAAGTCCACCCTGATCGCCCAGAGGGATGCCTTTAGGCGATCTATCAGCATGGATCAAAGGTCAAATGTTGAATGACCCTTTTTTTTAAATCAGCTGGCCTTTATTATATTGCTAGCAAGGAGGAGAAATTAGCTGTAGTTAGATTACAATATACACCCATTTAATGTTTCTGTGGAAATGTTTTTGGTGCTAAGGCCCTGGATTCAAACAAGGGGTAGACGACCCTTTGTAGAATAACCATTATCGGGGTTATTTTCTCAGACTTTATAAAGCTCACAGAGGATATTATATAACTGTTATCACAGGATGAGTGAAAATGAGTAACACTGGTGGAGTGCTCTTTTCAGATATTCCTCAATCATTCAGAGATGACAACTGTAAACCACAGTATCTTCAGCAGAGGTTTTTGTCAATATATGATACAGTATGGGGATACAGTAAGAAATAATATTAAATTATTGTCCAACACTAGTACAAACATGAACAAATCCAACCTTTGATTAAATAATATCAGCACAGTTCAATTACCATGATGAGAAAATTAAATGGATTCATGTCTCCTTGGGAACTTGTTTGTGATTGAATTCGGACTTTTCAGATTTAACCGCATAACCAACATGAAAAACACATTTACTCAAATGTTCAGAGTGATTTTAAAAGTCATTTCCCATTGGACATGGGGATGCAGCATTACATCACGCTCCAGCTGACACCATCATAGAATCTCACTCTTTTATTTGATAGTTGTGGTTAACCAAATGGTGTACTGTGTGTTGCCGAATGTTACAAACATGTGTTTTTGACAAAAAATAGCAGAGCTGAAGATTTTACTGAATACAATATATTATCAAATAAGTAAGAAAAAACTATCTGTGTCGTCATAGTTGTTGCAGTTATCGGTAAAGCTGATTATGCGTGTTATTGTCTCATTCAGGTACTCATGTAAGCAGTGTACAGACTCCTACCCCAATAGCCGAACTACACCCAAAACCCACACCCGCTCTCGTAGTTACACCCGCTCTCTGACCAGCTCACAGGTAACAAATAGTGTTTAATTGTGTGAATTATGTATTTGCATAGATGTCTTTACTGCAGCAATGTGTCTGTCTCCTTCTCCCTCTCGTCCTTCAGCTGGGAGACACGTTGAACCGCCAATTTGAGGCGGTTTGTGAGACCATGTTCGGAGAGGTGGAGTCTCAAGCCGTCGAGGCCCTAGATCTTCCAGGTGTGTTCCGCACTCGCAGCCACAGCTACGTCCGCGCCATCCAGGCCGGCTGCTCCCAGGACGACGACTGCCTCTCCGTCTTCTCCATGTCGGGTCCCCAGGGAAGCATCAAGGGTGGGGCCGGTGAGTGTGTGTGATTTAGTGTAACAACAAGTCTGTGTGAGAGTTAGAAAGATGTGTGGTTGTCTATTATGTGGCGGCAACCTGGTGGGAGACACAGTAGGTAAGCCAGTGGGAGAAGGAATTTTATGACAACTTGTGTGTGCTTACCTTGACAAAAGCAAGTCACACACACACACACACATCCACAAACCCCACATCCTCACTCATTGCACAGCTGCATGCAATGAGTGCATCCATTTTTAATTTAGAACCTTTTTTTCTTCTCTATTTCTTCAATCTCTATGATCTCACTCTTTTCACCCTAGCCTTCTGCTCCTCCGCCGCACTTTCTTTGTGCTTGTGTATACTGTATGTGTGCATGCTATAAGCATAGACTTGTGTTACATTATTGTGCATGCTCTTTGTTCTCTGTCTTCTCTGTCATCTTTCCCATCACCCTCCCCTGTGTGATCGCAGGTTTCTCAGGCTCAGTAATAGGTACAGGAACGCTCATGATTATGGTGATAGCTTAGTGTCTCCAGCTGCTGCTTCCTGTCTGTCTATCTATAGTATGTCTCTTAATGGTGTAGTCTCGCTCTTTTGTCTTCATACTGTGTGTCTTCTTTATTTGAAACATGTCTTTTTTGTGCATTTTGTCTTTTGGTTGTTCGTTTGTGTGTGTGTGTGTGTGTGTGTGTGTGTGTGTGTGTGTGTGGGGTGGGTGGGGGGGGGGGCTTATATGTGTTTGTACAGTAGACTGCAGAGCCATTCTAGTGCCTTATAGGACTCAAATTTCTAAGCTTAACCAGCAAATCCTCCCCTGATACTTATTAAAGCTTCTGTGGAGTGTCATGTACATCAACTGCAAACACACACCCACACACACTCACACACACTGCACAAACTCAAAGACACATACATCCCTATACGTGCATGCTCCCATACTGCAGCCTATGGAGCTTCATGGTTAGGATCTTTGTAAACTATGACAGGCAGGCTGGTGATGAAGATGCTTGGAAAGATTGAAGTCTGATCCTTTATTCACTGAAAATAAACTGTGTGTGTATGCGTTTATGTTTGAACAAAGCTGTGCGGGAGGAGGAACAGACTGTGCTTCTCATTTTAATATTTCTCTCACGAAATTGCTTTATCTTCTAAAGAAGCAGACTTAAGTTAGCTAAAGGGAAGAGGTTTTCTCTTGTCACTTCTCTCATGTATTTTTCACCTGCCTCTCAATGAAATTCAAACCAAGAGCTTATTTTAGGTGAAAAAAGTAGCGCTTCTGAGTTGCATTTTTAAAACTTTCTGTCACATCTTGCATTTGTATTATATCCTAATGATTTTGTTGTTTTCTCTCTTTATCTCTATATTATTGGTTCACACGCTTTCCTCTTTTCACTCTTTGCCTTTTCTTTCACCTTCTCTTTCTAGTCTGTCACTTTTGTAAGTATCCACCTCCCCTGCTCCCTGCTGATATAGTACCCATTCTGCTTTTAACAGCCCACTATGCCTCTGTCTTCCTTTCTCCCGCTCTTCTCACACTTCAGTCTTTCCTTATCGTAAAGGTGCTCCTCCCCCACTCCCACCTCGCATGTCCAAATCTTCACTCTCAGTGCGAGCCCAGAGCAGCACCGAGTCCACCCAGGATGCCTACTTCCAGAACAGCGGACAGTTGGCGTCAAGCTCGGGCCCCGGGCGCCCCAAGCAGCACAGCAACTCCGTGGACCTGGGCAGCTCTGACGGCCCCTCTGGTCGCTCCTCCAGAGGTGGTTACTACACTGCCACGGGCCCTGGACGTTCCCGGCAGCACAGTAACTCAGCAGAGAGCCTAGATGGGGCGAGGGGTTCACGGGAGCTGGTGCCGTACGGAGGGGGTCCGGGAGTTGGGGTGAGGGCCAAACACAGCAGCTCAGCTGACAGTCTGCTGGAGGGGCCACCGAGACCGGCCAGGGAGAGGGACGGCAGGGTTGGGGGCAGCCTGGGGAAGTCAGTATCCCTGCCTCAGAACAGCATAGTGTTGAGTAAAGCTGGGGGGCAGGACGAAGGACGTGGTGGGAGAAAGTGGAGGCCATCCATAGCTGTGCAGGTGAGGAAGGAATTTTACTATTAAAATGAAGCGACAACTCACTAGTCTGTCAATCATTCTTTTAAATGAGTCACTTAGTCACTTAGTCATTTTTTGACTAAAATGTCAAAAAAATGTGTGAAAAATGTCACACGTCTCGAGAAATTCAAACCAGAAATGTCTGGAAAATGACTTAAATTGTAATCAAATGTGATATTTTTTTCTGTTGATCAACTCAAAGATCAACTGACTAATCAGCACTAATCTATACACAATCCCAATTACACCAGATACGTGTCATTTGTACATTTTGGGAAATACAGTAATTGGCTTTCTTGCAGAGCATTAGGTGAGAAAATGTATACCACTCTCACATAGAGAGCCCCAAAAGGGATAAGCGTCCTTTAATTCCTTTAATTTCAGTTCTGTATGACATCTTAAGGGTGTGTGTTTGACCGCAAATCTGACTGTGGTGCTTTTTGGCTTTTTCTGTTTCAGGTGGACAGCTCGGAGACTCTGTCAGATTCAGACGCAGAGGGCAAAGCTCTGACAGAGGTCCACTCTATAGGAGTCCAAGTAGAAGATGACAAAAGGTAATTGAAATACAACTCAAAATCAGAGCAAGGGAAAAGCATTGTCTTTAAAAAATATCATCTCAAATTGAAGTGTGTTTATTTTCCCTGACATTTAACTTGCCATAATTATGGACACAAACTTCCAAACTAAGATTTGTGTTTGTTTATTTGCTAATTTATCTTTGCCCCAAAATATGTGGCTTCATCAAGAGCTTTTGGTGTTTGCACAGTAATTTATGTGAATAATTTCAATATATAATTTGAAAAAGCCTTCATCTCCTGGGCGCCCAACAGTGCAGCCACCTATGGTTGATTTCTAGGCTAGATCCCATTATTTCATTTAACATTTCATCAGACATCACAGCTTGAACTCAGTAACACTTTGTTCCAAGAATGTCGTGTTTTTCAACTGTAACCATGACTACTGCAAATCATACACTCGCCTTGACTTTCACACGTGATGCAGCCCGTCTTCTAATTATATCCAGCACCCCTTATGGGTCAGAATCACATGCATGCGAGCAGTCACAACATCACATACTCCCGAACTCTGAGCAGTGTGTGATCATGCACCTGTTAACAATGTCCCCCACCTCCTGCAATCATCAAGGGTGACAGTGTAACGTTGGGGGGAGAAAGCAGGAGTGCGAGAACGGAAATCTGAGTCACACCTCGCACCTTATCAGACAGCAAAGAAGGATGAGGGGAGGTGGGGTACAAACTTGTAATAGAGTAAACACTCATCACCCATGACAGTCCATTGACATGACATTTGCACACACTGGTGCGTCATATGCCAGAGGATCTAGCAGGACTTATCATACCCGTGTGAGTAGTAGTGACTGCAGTGACAGCATGACTATCCCTGCTCCGGTATAAATGTGCAATTATTAGAAGAAAAATATGATTTGAGAAAGGCTTTTGCATGTGATACTCCGTGTGACTGGATGGCTCTGGGCCTGCTATGGCTCCCTGTGTTGCAGGCGAGCTCGTTTCAAGCGGTCCAATAGCGTGACAGCAAGCGTGCAGGCCGACCTGGACCCTGAGGGCTTCCCGGCGCTCAGCATCGCCGTGCCAACACAGGACAAGAGTCTCCAGTTCGGCTGCTCCTTCCAACGGCACTCTTCAGAGCCGGAGTCAGCTAGCCAGTTCACAGAGTGCCACCGCACAGTCCACACACAGGGACAATGGGCCTACAGAGAGGTGGGTCTGCAGTGATACACAAAACTTGTCCTTGATTAAAGATGGGTTTCTTGTTCAGTGAAACCTGCGAAAGGTGCAATTTTCAAAGATAGGATAAGATCCCAGCATTTCAGAACCTGCATTGTTAATGTTCATGTTTGCTAGCTAGCAGTCTTTTTCCTTTGTTACATTGGCAGACTGCAGATCAGTGGAACAGCATGAACCTTGGGCAAAAATGTGTATGGCATCGATTATGCTTATGTGTCCACATGTGCATTCTCATGCACGTGCACGAGATGCAAACAGAGGAGCTTAAGACTATTACTTCATTGTGCTGCTACTGGTCAAAAACTCCACCGGCTACCTTTAAAAGAATAGTTAGACATTTCGCTTAGATCTTCCTGAGAGATGAGGAGATCAATACCACTTCTCTTTCATCTTCTCTCCTCTTCCTCTCCTTGTGTTCTCGGCAAGAAAGCCAATTTCCCAAAATGTCAAACTATTCCTTTAAACGCGGCCCAAAAACATGGTGTGTTTCTCAAAGTAAGGCTTAATCTAGACGGGCTTAGGTGAGAAGAAAAGAAGATGATGACAAGAAAAAAAATAAATATCAGAGATCGGAAAAGTGGGAAACTGCATGTAGGATGAAAAATGTCTAGAATAAATTTCAAATAATTTAGGACCAACATTCTTTTTAAAATGGTTTAGTCAAATTCAAAATTAAATATTTAGTGACGAATAATACTGTGTCTTATCATCAGTGTCGATATGTTGATGTAGGTAATCCAGCCTCATGAAATGAATTGCCACTAGTCTAAGACATGAGGATTGAGGATAAGGTGTGTTATTGATGGTCCAAATACCATGCGTCCAGCAGTTTTTTCTCATGTTATCCCAGGACTTTATCCAGAGTGGCTATACCACTGAACCCTGCCCGGCAGACCCACGGCCCCACCAGCACCCACACCTGCCTCCACGTTCCCACTCCCCTCTGCCCATCACTGAGAGAGCCTGGGCCGGTACGCCGTCCCTGGAGGGCCCTCGCAGCCTGCCCGACTCAGGTCGAGCCTCTCCCTGCATGAGAGACGGAGAGTTCTTCTTACGCCTCCTGCAGACGGAGGTGGAGAGGATGGAGGGCTGGTGCCAGAACATGGAGAGAGAGGCTGAGGAGAACGAACTGCCAGAGGAGAGTGAGTTTGGGAGGATAGGATCGAAAGGATCAGAGATAAAGATAAATGATTAATAGTTCTTGGATTTCTAAAACTACTTATGCCCTGTTTCCTCCCTAGTTCTTGAGCTGATTCGCAATGCAGTTGGCAGTGCCCAGATGCTCATGTCTCAGAAAGTTCAGCAGTTCTTCCGCCTCTGCCAACAAAGTGTGGTGAGTATGCGTGATTACATGCAAAATCATGACAGCACACATTACATATGGTGAATCGTTTTGTCGCTAAAAGCAAAATTAGCTTGGCTGCAAAATCACTTTATGTACGTCTTTCTCTCTTTCTCAAATCCTTGTATATTTGTCACCCGTCTCGTGTCCCGTCTCCCTGACCACCCAGGACCCATCAGCATACCCCCAGCCCACCTCTCAGGACCTGGCAGGCTTTTGGGACCTGCTCCAGCTCAACATAGAGGACGTCAGGGTCAGGTTTCAGGACCTCCAGAGGCTCAAGGACTCTAATTGGAGGCTCCCACCTGAAAAGAAGGTGAGAGGCCCAGGGGTCCAAACAGCCCTGGTTTCCCTACAGCACTCCCCCAGAGCTAAGATGGCAGTGTGCAGAAGAGTAGCACAGATGGTCGTGCCCTCCCAGTCTTTGCAGGCTGTGAGAATACAGAACAGCAAGAGGAACTGAGCTGAGCTGCTCACGAGACGGTGGAGTCTTAAACTGCTAGAAATCTTAATGCATATCAGCATTTTTGCATTTGGTCAGACAGAAGAAAGTACTTGTCTGTTACACTGTTGTCTATAAAGGTTAGGTTACTCACTGACCAACTACATTATTCTTGATAACAAACTAACAATTGTTTCTCTTTTCTTCTTTTTCTTTTCACATGATCTTTGCCTTTTATTCTCCCATTTCATTTCCTTTTACGTCACCCGATGCCAATGCATGCTGAGATACTTTTCTGATTTTTTTTTTTTCGAATTTGGTTATTTGTCTGTCATAATGTCTCGGGCCATGATTCTTCCTCACTTGAATTTGACCCTTTTTGTCTTTGGTTTTGCTCTTTGTTTTGTCATTTTCTTTGTTTCTCCCATTCTTTTCACTTTGTTGCATGGGACCCCTTTCGTACAACCATACAAAACCATTTTTTTCACCACCCGACACGATAAATCCACTGTCCGTTTTCATCTTATATCTACGTCTCACCATTGCCGGGCTAGGAGGATAAGAAGCTTCCTCCGCCCTTACCAAAGAAGCCAGCAGGCGGGGTGAGTGGCAGCCTCCGTGCCGATAGTAGCGGGGATGGGGGCGCTGGAGGTGGAGGAGGTGGGTCGGGGGGCCTGGTGGTGCCTCGCCTGGGTGGACATACCCTACCCATCAGGGAGAAGTCCCTGGACCTCGGGGACCGTCAGAGGACAGAAGCGAGGAGGAGGCTGCTGCAGACCAAGCGCGCTGCCTCTTTCAGGCAGAACTCGGCCACAGAGAGCGCCGACAGCATCGAGATCTACATCCCCGAAGCCCAGACTCGACTCTGAACACAAGACGGAGGTGTCTCCCACCCACCTCCTCACTTTACCCCCATCCCCGCAAAGCCGACCCCCGCACAAATCTCAGTCTTTCTCTGAGCCCAGTTTCGGCTCTACCCTCCCTTCAGTTTTTCCATCACTTCACTTACCATAACTGCAAATTCACTTCTCTTGCTCATTAAACAAGCAATGACAGCCATTTTAGTGTCTTTAAATTTGGACATTTTACTGACACAGAGGCCTAGACCTGAAATGGTAGCTAGCAGATATGAGTTATAGACTTTTTTTAAGAATTCTCTGGATTTCTTTTTGGCTCTCAGCAAACAAGAAACAGTCCACTTTTATAACAGTAGTCAGCGGAGGTTCACGCAGTAGTAGCATGCCTGTGCGTGTTCACCTAGCACTTCTCCATCACTGAAAATAAAGGGCTTAACAGGCACAAAACCTCTGTGTGAGGAGATGACATAATCTCTCTATGGATCCCCTGTTGCCATCTCCTGATTACCATTTTCAACAGAATCAACTAAGATATATCCACACTATTCATTGATGCCAACAGTATGGAGGAGTGAACATGGATTCATTTCTCACCATCAGTTTAAATGCCCTTAAAGTCAGATGGCTGGCGATCCCCAAAGAACATTCTCCAAGCATAGTCAGTCAACTACAGCTGGCTCCTTTCACCCAGGTGCCATCTGTCCACCCAGGCACCCAGTCAAAGAATATGTAACAATTTTATGCCTCTTTCCTTCATTCCTCACGTCCTGCGTATCCATCGACTACCCGACTAGCATTCAGCAGTGAGGCTGTTTGAAGGTGCAAGTGCTATTTGTACATAGTGTGCACACTCATGTTTGCCAAAAGGAGCTTTTGCAGTGTAGCATCACAGCCTTGACAGCTAGAGAGCATCACAGACAAAAAAACAGAGCCGTTTGCATTTTATGTAGTCTCTCTGAAGTTTGAAGTGTTCAGGGGTGGGGTTGCTGGGAATTTTTGGGGGGAATATATTTTGGTGGCTTTTCAGGACTTTACTGAGAAGGCCCCCATTTCACTGTGAGGCTATAGCACCACCAAGTGTTCAAGTGAGGACCCGAACCATCAACGGTGGTCTGCAGAGAGTTCTTTCCACCACAGTCAGGAATTAACAAACGCCCTGATGAAATAGCCATGAAAGTAAATCAGTTTCTTTATTTTTTTCAGTTCTTTCCCTTGACACACAGTGTGTTTTCTCTTCTCTTGAATATTCAGAATGGACTTTCCCATGATTTGTTTGCATAATTGTGAAGATAAAGCGGTGGATCACAAAGTAAAATGGGGAAGAGCTGTCTTCTGCAGAATCCACCCGCCTAAACCTCTCAATTTCACACGCCGCTGATGAAAGAGGGAATGATTTCTTTGATTGAAAAGAAAACAAAAGGAGTCATGTTCAATGTAGCTCCATCCGAACCCCTTCCAAAGAGCCATTAAAGAGAGGAAACCATCAGCTGTGAAATGATAGAAAAGAAGCAACTTGATAGTGTTTGGTAATGATGCTGAGATTAAGCAGCACTTGTTATGAATGGGATTATAGTGTATGTTTGTTGCCCTCTGTGTTCCTTTCCCTTCTTCTTCATTTACTTCTTGAAGTCATACTATCTGATGTTTCCACTGAACTAAGTGTAGCATGATTTTAAAAGCTTTTAAGGAGTCTCATTTACGTGTTTATGTCAGAGCAGATATTTCTAATTGAAGTATTTTGTTTGGATGGTGCGTATAGGCTTGTATGGGTGTGTGTGTAGTTTGAATATGAAGGGCTGAGTGTCATAAGGGATGTGTGATGAAGCCCAATGAATACTAAGAAGTCCAAATTTTAAACACAAGAAACACAAAATATAAGAATCTTTTTAGCATGACCTGTTATTTTTTTCTTTTCTATTTGGATGGAATGTGTTGGCAAATGGGATATTTTAATGGGAGATGTATATTTTATAATATAATCTACATTTCTAGATTAGTAGAGACTATTGAGTACAGTATATGTACACAAAAAGCATATATCAAATGTGAAATACTACAGTATTATTATGATAGATTATAGCATTGTGTGATACTACAGCTGTGTGGCATATCCAGATTCAGTACATGTGAAAAAGAATTTCAAATGATTATTATCTTCAGTTTGTGAGTGCTGGGTCAGGTTCACAGGGTATATAACTGGCAAGAGTTAATTGCCAAGTATGATCCTCCTTAGGCCTACTGTATATCTGTCTGTGGTTCTAACAACATATACTGCTGTATCCCCTCCCTGTATTCCCTCTTTAGAACCAACTACATGTGCCTAACCAGCTATATGTGGAGGTTTCCTTTGAACACAGTTTACAGTATATATATGTATAGAAAGATATGTAAATAGAAAAGTATAAAATCTGCAGAGAATATTGTTGAAGAAAATGTTTTTATTGTACTGACATGCCATCCTTTGTCTCCCTCACTCTCACGTGCAATACACACATAAGACTGGCAGATTTTGTTGATGTTAATACTGCATGTTTTATGTCAACCTCCTTTGAAAATATATAGCAGAATCTCATTTTTGACTGATAAAAGGAAGGAAATTTTGTAGCTTATTAACCTTTTTTGTGATTGAAGAAAAATTGACAAGATTTTACAGTGCAGTTATTTCAACGAGTCACTTCTTTGTACTAAGAGTATATCCTTGGAGGACAATGATACTGGCAACCTCGAAACAGCAATCAGTGTTTTGATTTGGATCTCAACAGATCAATTTAACAACCTCCATGTGAAATAAGCTGCCCTGGCGATGAAAAGAAAAAAGGGCTGAGAATCAGACATCATGTTAAATTCATCTGCGGCAGTGTGGGTTGCAGATCAGCCTTTTTATCCCCTCATCCTTCTCCTCTGTTACCCTCAAACTTGACAACATCTCAGTGGTGTTTAACTCAGCCCTCATCCAACAAAGCACAAAGACCTGCTTTTATACTGTTACTCCACTGTGAAGGCCTCTGGACTCCACCCTCACAATCTTCAAACCCACTCGCGGAGGGGTGGCAAGGTCCTTCCATTACGAGTCGGCCTTGAGGGACACTAGGAATCAAAGAGTCTTTGTGGGATATTTATCCACCGTAGCAACTACTACTACTACTACTTCAATTATCGCCGACTTTCTTCTCTATACTTTTGATCACACGTTGAGGTGTTAGCCAGCCACCTTGCCTTGAAACAGGTCCATTGCAAACACACTTTTGGTGGTATTATTTCCATACTTTTTGTTGCGTATTTCACCCATCCATCTGTCCAGTATACTCACAGTATGAATACACACCTGGGTGTATAGGTACAATATAGTGTACAAACATGATCCGAGCACTCACCACCACACCAGACGGACTACTATACAAACCCTTTCACCTCTTTCTAGAAGTGCAAAAACCCCTCGTGAACAGCCAGATGGACAAGTCAACTCAGAGTACCTCAGTTTCTAGCAGCAGTGTCTCCAACCCCGACCCAGGCCTCTGTCCTCAGGGGATTCTCTTAACACCACACAACCGACGGACCCTGAAAAATACAGGACCACATCAGTCCCACTGGAATGTTGTCCATATTCTCTGAATGAAAGGGGGAAATCCTTTGAGCCCAGATTCTCTAGTAGCCATTTTCTGAGACTGGAGAGCAACAGTGAAAGGAGAGGTGGTTGAGGCAAGAGCTCAATTGTAGCCAACGTGTGTGTGCTGTATACTGTACATCTGCAGGAGGGATGCTGTAGCAGCAGATTTGAGTTTTAGTTATGCAGACATTTGTGAGAAGCAGAGCTGCTCTGGAGGAAAAAGCAAAATCACAGATTGAGTTAAACCTCAGTGGGAGAAGCCAAGGAAGTAGTTTTCCTAGTTAGAGATATGAGCTGTGGCTTTTTCTCCTTGCAATATTTCAAACAGTCAAAAACCGAAGAAAATAGCTGTTTTCTGGTCATGGTCACCCCATGCTTCCGCAGTTGAATGCTTTTAACTAACTAGCAACAGTATGAATTGCTGGGATAGCATGAGCAGTAACTTAATATAGCTCTGATGGAGCGTTAGGAGAGCAGTAAGTGAGTAAGGCTGATTACGTGCATGCATCATTTCCTGTGAATCAATTGCAATTTCAATCCACTGGAGGACACTGGAAACTCCTATCTCAAAAAGGGAATTACAGAATGTAAATCCATGAATAGCTATTGCTGAAAAAATGGCAACCATAAACAGTATCAGAAACCTGCAATGATTTCATGAAAACTTTAAGGATTATGTTTTTAACACTATACAAAATTTCCTTAAAATGTATCTTTTGGTTCTCGCCTCAGAGGTTTTATTTCCATCCTCCCCCAGAGCAGCTCAATCTGTATAAGATGTTTAACTGAAACTCCAATGTGCCTTTAGCGCTGAGGTGTAATTGTGTTTGTGTGTGTGTGTGTGTGTGTGTGTGTGTGTGAGAGAGAGAGAGAGAGTGTGTGTGTGTGTGTGAGAGAGAGAGTGTGTGTGTGTGCGTGTATTTACTCTGTAATGTTTAACAGTACGCACACAGGTAACCATGTGGGTCAGAGACAATTGAGCAATTACTGTGTAATTAACAAAAAAATAACACCCTGCCACCCTCACGTTTACAAATATGTAAATACCTGTTGCCAATGGACATTGCTCTTCTCAATATTACATATATTGTTATTACAATATGATTATTATTAGTATGATTATTGTCATTAAAAGGATTCATTATTGCCATCACTCTCATTATTATAAATGGTGTTGTCAACTATAGCTATGGGTAAACATTGTTCTGTATTCAAGGGCGAGTCTTGTGTAGAATAACAAAAAAATAGTTTAATCTATGATGACAAGTCTTAAATCGCTGCTACTTAGGAGATGGAGTAGAAGAAAAGCAAACTGACAATAACTCTGGGAAGACATTTTTCTCTGGGATCAATGATGGACACTCCAATGAGGAGTGAGAGATCACCAAAAGAGGAAAGTAAGCGTTGAACAGATTGATTGAATGGAAGATCCAAACATAAGACCTTTATTTCTCCATGTGCATTTATTCCACTCTGAACTCTTGGTTCTGCCAGAGGAGGAAAACAACATGGACATCAAACTGATACAGACTCTACTCTCTCTGTATTCTACTCTATAATGTAGCAACAACTAAATAGCCCCTTGTTCTCTACTGTCTCCTCCTCTTTCATCTCTCTCTTGTATTTCTCACTGAACATAATTTTTAATCAGACGGGTTTGATACAGCGAGCTTTTCTGTCTTTAAGCTCAGCTTTATTCTTGAGTTCTCTTGTTTTATACGTTTGATTCAGTGCCAAGACAGCATATTGTACATACAAACATTAAATGCTTTTGTTTTTTTTTCTCCTATAAAAACAGTTGACTGGAGCATATAGCAATAGCGATGCCATAAGATATGAACTTTGTTTCATAGTGCCACCAGAGGATACACAAGATGCATGAGAACACCACAGTGACCGGAAAATGCAGTCTGAATATGTGCTGGACGGCAGGGGTGGGCATTGCACAGTGAAGAGTAAATCATGATCCTGTTTTATTGTGTTGTGGTTCTCATTTTGTACATACAAATTTATTTATTGATCTTGTATGTTTTATGGATCTAGATGTGTCAAAGGAGCACGTCTGATAGCGCTGAAGCCCAGAGAGATGGCACACTGTGACGTGGTTTACCCCAACACAGAATGTAACACTGTCAACGTTGTCAAAACATTTTCTAATGGCTAATATTATTACTATTAATATGATTATTATAAAGCTATTTTAGCGAGTTAAATCAGGGGTGCTGTGTCTCCTTTGTCTTTCTTTTGTGTTGATTTTCTGACTCTGAAAAAGAAAATCTTAAGTCAGTTAATTCTGGTTTTAAATCTTTAGTATTGCTCTATTACTATATTAAATATTCCAGGTTCATTTATTCATCATACTACAGGGTTGTTCAATGAAATGCAAGCTGTAGTGCCTGCATTCTACACACAAAGTGTAAATGAAAATACATGAGCAGTTAAATAACAATCCAAACAATATTTATGAATCGAGTTGAACTATCAGAAACTCATTCTGCTCCATCAGGACTGTATGGGTGTGGTTTTATCAGCCTGGCAATATAAGCAACTAAGCCCACAATTGTCATCAGTTTTTTAATCGTATGTTGCTCAACTCTGATTGGTCCACAAAAATTGTGACCTTTTTCCTCAGCCTAACCCATTTCAAACCAGTGGGGAAAGAATTTTAAAGCACTTTAAAGAAAAAGTTTGATATTTTGGGAAATATGCTTATTTTCTTTCTGGTGAGGAGTTAGATGAGAAAATTGATATTGTACAGCCAACCCCCAAAGGGTAAAACAACAAATTCACCATTTTATGTGCATTTAAGTGCCAAACAATTTCCTTGCTTTGAGCAGTTCCCATGCAACCAGGGGAGACAAGTTACTGTGTAATAACCCAGCACATAACCCCTGTAAAATGGTACTCATACACTTACACACAACAAGACATAATATGTTAAAGCGTGAGCTGTAAAGATACAGATAGCCAAGCTAATTAGCTTTCTCCATTTACAGTCTTTATGCTAAGCTAAGCTAACTGGTTCATATTTAATGACAGACATGAGAGTGGGCTAAAAAGGACCCCATTGCTAATTGTGACGAGTTGATTGAGAAAATACATTTCATTTATAACTGTGGTAGTAGAGTAACTTCTTTGAATATTATTTTCTGCCTTACCACGTTAGTCTGCAACTGATTATAAAATCATTTACTGAATGCAGCGCTAAATGACATAGTAGATGGAATTCTTTTGTAGTGCAGACATACCCACCTGCGAAGCATCCATCAAAAATGCAAAGCAAATGACAAAGAGAAGGATTTCCAAAGAGAATGTCAGTTTTCTTTCTCTGTTTTGTCTCTCTCTCTCTCTCTCTCCCTGTAGGAATTTGCAATGCAAATACTAAGCAGGTTAAAACTGAGGAAGGAGAACAATTTAGCACTGGAAGTATGAGTCAAATGCACAATCCCTGTGGTCTAAACTCAGACTGACACATTAAGAGGATATTTTTGTCTGTACTCACAAACTACTGAATATGAAGTGTCCCCCTGAGATTTAGGAAGAGCAGCAGTAGCCTCGGGGTATGGGAAACTGAGTTATTCACTCATACTTGAGTGTAAAGCCACTCGAGGCTTGAACATCTTATCTGAGATTATAGAAATCTGGATATGATCTGAGGTTTTAGAAAGGGTTTTTTTCCCATTAGACTTGAACCCATGGCTGCTGCAACAAGGACTCAGCCTTGGTTCTACCAGGTGAGCCACCAGAGCGCTGTGCCAGTGTGTAACATTTAGGAGGATCTATTGGTATAAATGGAATATAATATTTATATGTATGTTTTCATCTGTGTATCATCACCTTGAAATAAGAATCATTATGTTTTGGGGCCTCTTCTGCGGAGTCTGCTATGTTAATCCATGCTTCTTCAGTAGCCCAGAACCAACCAGCCAAACACTGGGTCTAGATAGTGTCTTTCATGTTTTTCAGGAGTTTCATGGCCACCGTAGTTTCTCCTATACACTTTGAAGGCAGTTTTGAAGTTGCAGATTTCCATCAACTTCAATCCTTGATTCCACTAAATCGTACACACTGGTGCTTTAAGTTATTCCAGTGTTTCAAAACACCTACAGGCCAAGGACACAACGGGAAAAATGTAAGACAGTGGACCATGAACAACAGTATTTTAATATATCTAGTTTACCTGAAGCTCTTCTCTATAATATTCATATATATAATAAACTGTATAAACACAGCCACTCATCAGTTACATCAAATCATCTTTTATTCAAACATTTTAAAAGTGCTGTATGTAAAGTGTTCAAACAAACCACCTGGAAGAAAATAAATTGGTTCTGAAACAGCAATTAGATAGCTGAGAAGATGCCAGGAAAGCTTTATAAGCTGAACAGCAGAATCCACTTTTCATTGATAATGATTCAATGATTACAATGAGCACAATTAACAGGAAGTGACACATTAAACCTTTAGTCCTCAGTGATACAAAGGAATCATTGAAGAAGAGCGATCCATTACTTCAGTTTAGCAGAAATACATAATTCATCATTAATTAATAACTACATAAGCCCTGTCCCTTCAACCATAGTGCATATACTTTCCCTCATCCTACAAACATGAAACCCTGAGATGAACAAATTCTGAATATTCAACCTTATTGAGGTTTTTGGGGTTTAAAGCTCACTGGATCCCGTCCAGTTTGAGTGTCCAGGCTTGACCTGGGGTACAGGACAGTTCAGGCAGAAGGACAGTAAGGCCAGCATTGGGTTGGACTGGGGACCAGGGCAAGGGCTTCGGATTTCCCAACAAGGTCACCTGGACAAGGGACAAAAATAAATGATTAATTTCTTACATTTAATGTGTGAGGAATCTCCTATAATCCTCTCTGTGGTTGTAAAATGTCATTTTGTGGACAGCGAGTAGTAATCCCTTTACCTTAGTGGCTCCAGATGTTTTAGGTCCCAGTAGTTGCAATGTGAGCTTGGGGGGTTTGGCTGTCATGATCGCATAGACGGATTCTCCTTTAGATGTATACCTAGAGAAATGGAGACGATAACTTGCATCAGTGATCTAAATTTCAAGGCATCTAGTAGCCGAGGGGTGAAGACGCACACCCGCAACATCCCAGTTCACTTCCAGCCAGGGGCCTTTGTTGCATGTTATTTCTTGGATTTCTGTCTGTGTCTCTACTATCTCTATATAACATGTGAACGCATCATGAGATCAACTTTATAGCTTTTGCATAGATTTCTGGAAATTGTGCTTTCTATTATAAATGACAGCATCTACAAGTTCGGACTGCTTCTCGTGATTCAGCTTTGCCTCTTACCAGACTGGTACAGTGGTGTTCTCGGTCTGTATCCTCCAGGGTTTAGAGGCGTAAATGGCCTCACCGTTAATCCCTAGCCAGTCTCCGACACCCCTGAGCCTCTCCTCGAACACTACAGGGATCATCCCATCAGGTGTGGGACCCACATTCAGAAGGTAGTTACCTCCCAGAGCCACAGTGCCAACCAGATCCTGGAACAGAAGCAGTAGGAGGACAACACAGACATCACGAGCTTGCCTTAATTTTTTATCGGTAATGTCTTGACAATGACGACAACATCAAAGCCCAAGTGTGTCCATGACAGCTGCATACAGGAACAGAAATGACATGTATTCTATATGTACGAAGGCTATATACAGAAGCAGAAACAGCCTAGCTAGCATTACAGACTCGTTAATGAATTATGAAATTATACTACCACATATCCTCACCTTTATGATAGTGGGTAAGTCCATCAGTTCACTCATCTTCATGTTTCGACGGTAACCCCAGGAAAACGTGTCCACAGATGTGCACTTCTCCCACTTGTGCTTGGGCAGCTGGCCCGGAGTGTATTTGTCTTCACAGTTATAGTAGCCACCATGTTTACAGGCACAGCCAGCTCCCCATCTGTCATTGGTCACAATGGTATCCTAAGGAAAGGAAGGTACAAGCATGCAATCATGCAGAAACAATTAATAGCTGAATGTCTTGCTTTAAAAAAAAGAAAAAACACACTGTTACAAAAACACTTACTTTGACTGGGCTGTCATTGTAGAGCCAGGCCAGGAATTGGGTGGAGTTCCAGTAGGTGTCAGGTGCTTCCCAGTCCCCATCAGACCAGATCACCTCAGGCCTGTACCTACAAAACAGGAAGGTAACGGTAAACACACTGTCATAAGGTTGTAATGACATGTACTTTTTATCTCATACAGCCACATGTCAATATAACAAAGCAGACTCACAATCAAGTGCAATACATGTTTGTATTGTAATCAGCTGATGGAGTAATATAATTGCTACAGACCTTACAACCATGTTATAAAGCTCTGGTAGAAGTTTATGCATCACAAACTCCTGTGTTTTGAATCCGTTCTTCTTGTCCGCCAGGTAGAGAGGGTGGAACCACTCATACAAGGAGTTGTAGAGTCCATAGTGCAATGACCTAAACGAGGAAATGAAAAACTTTCAAATCTGTCACCGCAGACAAACCAAAATACAGACACTAAAACTAAATGAAGCCAGATATCTTGAATGATAAGGTCCGTATTTGTGCTGATATATCATATTGATGCATCCCCAATCTACAGAAAATGGATTACTATTAAATCTGGAAATACATGTGACCCACAAGTGTGTGTGTAGCAACTTGTGCAGCACAAGAATAAGCCTTCCAAATCCAGCATCATGTCTTCACCAAGTGACTTAATATGCACTGTACTATTAACACATATACTCTTTAACGGACTGTAATGTTGGTATGTTGATGTCAGCTGTAAACACTCTTCCTGAGCTTTATATTTTGATGGCCCACCTGTTGCGCACCGCCTCTCCCAGGTCTCCCACTAGGTCCCTGTGAGGACCAGTATCAACAGAATTCCAGTTCCAGGAGTTTGGAGAGCCCCAGTTAGTAAATCCTTCGTGGTGTTTGGCAGTCAGGACGACATATCTGAAGTGAAGATAATGTGTGAGTATGGTAGGTGTAAGTATGACTGTTCAACGTAAACCAGTGCAGACGCAGGTCGAGCAAGAACCCGGAAGTGTCTGTTAGCAGAGCCCCTTAAGCTAGAGAAATAACATTACACTCACTTTGCACCGGAAGCCTTGAATATGTCTGCCCACTCCCCCGGGTTGAAGAACTGAGCGTGAAACTGGGGGGCAAACTCCGGGTAGCTGAACCCAGGCGGGTAGTTCTTAGACATGTAGCTCACACACTTCTGGTCCGGGGGCTGCTCGCCCTGCCAGTGCCACCAGAACCACTCGCTCTGAAAGCCGGGGACAGAAAACACACCCCAGTGGATAAAAACCCCCACCTTGGCTTCGTCGTACCATGAAGGTAGCGGTCTAGCGTCCAAACTGGTCCAGTCCGCAGTGTACCGAGCCCCCGCCGGACGGGAAACTGAAGCTGCGACCAACACAAATACAGCCAGCATGACTCCAACAGGTTAGCCCAGGTACCTGTGCACTTCTGCGGCTGCGCGTACACCGCGGCGCTACGAGGAAGACTGCCAAAGCGACCACCCTACGGTAACGTTAAATCCCACTGCTGGCTGCTGTATGGAGAGGGGGGGTTCAGGCTGAGACCCTTCAAGTACAGTGCTGTTTTCAATCATATGACTATCACGTGATTATCACTTTTTTTTTTTTTTTTTTAATAACTTTATTTAACCTGCCAATACGGACATAACACTTACATGAGAGTAAATGATCTAGATGAGATTTCCAAAATCCCAATTACAAGAAATAACTGTGGGATATGACCACAGACTGTATTTATGTGGGATGGTCTCACTTTCAGGTTCATATTCCGTTACCTGTTTAACTTTATTGATAACATGCTGATTTCTTTTTTAAACACTAGGTTGCTTAAACACCTGAATTCCCAGAAAAATGCAGCAGACATGGTCTCACGGTCCTCAGTGGTAGATACTGCTTCAGTCCACATATGTTATCTATATAAAACGCATTCACCATGCCATTTATTTCAGAATGGGATCCATTCGGATTTATATGATTTGCTTTGGACCTTTGAAAGATGTAACTAAAGATGCCTGAAGATAATATCTGGTGTTTGGAGATTTTGTTTTTTGAACACCCTTAGATGGGGATCAACTTGCCTAAGACGTTTAATAAGGTGTTGAGGTTATTGATAATGTGGACGTGAACAACAGGATTTTGTTACAGTAATATAAATCATGTGTTCAGTGAAGTTTAGCGAGAATATTCTTCTGATTTCTGTTACAATATTCTGGATAAACGCTGATACAAGGAGAAAATCAACCAGCATCAGGATACAATTACACTGTTCTGAGGACGGGCAGATTATTTTTTATTTTTTTTTTTTGGATCATTTGATAACATAAAATAAAAAATAAAAAATAAAGGAGAGAAATTGAATCACCCATAAACTCAGTTTTGCCCAGACCTATTTGAATATGTCTCTAGAAATAGAAAGGCGTATGCTAAGACGAAAGAAGAAGGTGAAGACCTTTATTTTGTTTATTTTATTTCATTAAGCACATGGATTTGTTTTTATCTCATTAGTGTTGACTTTGCATTTTTAAATACACTCTGATTGCATGTATCATAAGTTCTGTTGCATAGTTCCCTATCTACATATTGTTAAATGCGCTAAGTGGGCAACTTTCCATTTGATTCAATAATAGGACAATCACTATGTGTCCGGGTCCTTCTCGCTGCTGCTGCTGCTGCTGCTGCACACAAGGTCCGTGGAGGTCTTAACTTTAGGATCCGAGTCATTCTCGTTGGCAGACACCAAGTCCGTGGAGGTCTCCAGCTGTTGTGGGCAGGATGCGTACACAGCCAGAGCGTCCAGCCCGGCCAGGACGAGTGAATCCCGCCGCTGCGCCCTGCGGCTGTAACCGAGCCGCTTCAGGGTCCGCCGGGTGGTTGTGAGTGAGATGGGCCTCTCCTGTCCGCTGCTGTTGTACAGAGCCTGGATCTGCACACTCGTTGCGTGGTTGTTCGCCTCCACCACGCTTTCCATCCGCCTCTCTCCGCTGTCATCGACGAGGCGTTTCCTCCCGCAGGACCCCCGGTGGCTGGAGGTTTTCTGCTTCTCTCGCCATTCCCTGTAAACCCGGGACACCGCGGTCTTTGAAAAGCCCAACCGGTTCACGGTCTCCGAGATGCTGCAGCCGGCGCTCCGGGCTCCCACTATCATACCCCGCTCGAACTCGCTTAAGTCCCGCGACTTCCCCATGTGTCACCGCTATGTCCAGCAGGGACTGCCAGAAACAATACAAAGTCGTAAAGAATCCTTCTTCTTCTGTATTTTTTTTTTTTTTTTTTTGTAGCACATTAGACTCAATGAAGGCTTATTGTCGCCCTCCTCAGTTGGATTCTTGATTTCTTCTACGGTCATTTTTGCTTACATTTGATTAGTAATATCTATTAGGCCTATATTTGGTAGATTGAACAGAAAGAAACGCAGAACACAGCTGTGCAGCCCCTACCGCCAACACTTATAGACACACTGGAGATAAAGCAGCAACTGTGGGAACATGACACAGCATTAAGCAATGCCAAAATACATAAATTATATGGCACAGATTTAGTGCCAGCTGTTGTACACATGGATGTGCTGCACAATAAATAATGTTTGGTCTTTGTCTGCTACTGCCTCTGTCAGGTAAATAACAAAATAACCCACTTGTGAGGTTTTTTTTCTCTAAGGTTTCCTCCTGTCCTAAAAGGTTATACATTATATATAAAACTTCCCTCTCTGAAACCTGTAGAAAAAAAGGCTATTTGTACGGTGTAAGTTTTTAGATGTGGTTTTTTTTTTGTGTGTGTGTGTGTGATTTATAATTTTTTAAATGAGCTGCTTTGAACTGTAGTAAGTAAAATAGTTATACAGTACACATGATGTTTAGGAAACCCCATATAAAAATTGGGCATTTTAATGCAAAGATATACTTGTAGCTATACAGTGGATTTTCCACTGTGCAAGATACCCATCCACCAACACTTAACATATAGATAGATAGATAGATAGATAGATAGATAGATAGATAGTTTTTTCCAATTCCAAAAGACATTGAGATTCTATATATATGACATTTTGTAAAGAAAAGCTTTTGTAGGTATCCAGAGAAAATTACATGGGTAACAAATGAGCACAGCTTTATCCTTACAGTAAATACCTGAGGGAATTAAATACACATTACACAGTGATTGACCGTAAAATGTTTTCTAGTCCTGCTGTGAGCTTTGACAGCCACTTAATATTCCTGTGCACAGTGAATCATATTTTACCCTACATTTCACACCCCATTGATCACCTAATTTACAATTACAAAAACACACTCAGAACGTAACGACTCCCACCCTTTGCACAGTGAATTTTAGCTTCTTCTTTCTGGACGGAGGTTTATATTCTCAACATGTAGAACAAAGCGGTGTAAAAATAGTTTCCTTTCAGCAGCTATCATTCAGATCAAAAAAACTGTAGTAACAAGGCACTTCTTGTTTTTACCATTTATACCTCAAAGTGTTTTTTATTGTTCTCTCTTTGTAAGTCCTGAGTTTGTTGTATTAATGTCAAGAGGAATGCCTTGCCTTTTACTGCAAACCAAATCTACCTATGGAGTAACATTGAACCTTAAAATGTAACAGACATGCCCCTTGACCTAAAAATGACTGGATCTTGATTTTTTTTTTTTTTTTTTTACATCTCTCTGATGTTAGACTACTCCTTCCAGTTTCAGAGACCAGGCATTCCCAGGAGATACTGGCATGGTAGGCATAACAATCATCAGTCCAGCGGTTTGTGTCACTGGTGCCCACTTCAGTGGTACATCTGGGTAGTCCATAAGTGTAACCTGTAGATGTAAAAGAGCAGTATGTAGAGTTTATGATGCTGGCAAACCAAAGTAAGGGGAACTAAACTTTATAGGCATAAAGGTGGAAGGCTTACTTTTGTGGCCCCAGACGTCCTTGGTGTTGTGAGCTGAAATGGCTGTTTGGCCGGCCAGCCAAGGATTATGGCATAAACTGTATTGTTTTTGGCGGTGTACCTATAATAAGAGCAAACTGGCTATTTACATCACAAAATCACAAATCACAAGATGTGGCTAAGGAGCATGAACAAACAAATCACAGTCTCACCAGACAGTAACAGTGCTGTTCTCCGTCTGGACCCTCCAGGGTTTGGAAGCATAGACTGCTTCCCCATTAATTCCCAACCAGGCACCAAGTCCCCTCAACCTCTCCTCAAACACCGGGGCAATCATGCCATCTGCCATTGGCCCAATGTTCAGTAGGTAGTTACCACCCATTGCTACCACATACACCATGTCCTGAGAAAAGTGGAATGTTAGATTGATGCAAGATTACCAAATCATTAATCAGTGAATTACTGAACATAGGCCAGCTGTAGGTGATGACCAACTGTGACCTTTCACCTTTATGATAGACGGCAGGTCCATGAGTTCGCTTAGCTTCATGTCTCTTCGGTAGCCCCAGGAACGGGTGTCGATGGACTGGCATTTCTCCCATTTGTGGTCTGGAAGTTCACCGGGCATGTACCTGTCAGCGCAGTTGTAGTAGCCTCCATGTTTGCAGTAGCAGCCCTTACCCCACCTGTCATTGGTAACCACCACATCCTGAAGAAACACACTGGTCATTATCTGCTACTTACGATTCAACTTTATGTGAGGAATAGGCCCAAATCATCATACTAACAGAATGCGATTAAATACACGTTCTGATGAAACCTTGTGTATCGTAAATGTGCTCTTACCTTGACTGGGCTGTCATTGTAAAGCCAGGCCAGAAACTGGGTGGAGTTCCAGTAGGTGTCTGGTGCATCCCAGTCCCCATCAGACCAGATCAGATCCGGTTTGTAAGCCATCACAAGGTTCACTAGCTCTGGAAGAGTCTTACGGGCAACAAAATTCTGAGTCTTGAATCCAGAAGCTTGGTCCAGCAAGAAAAGGGGATGGTACCATTCATATAGAGAGTGGTAGAGACCCAAGCGCAGTGACCTGTTGGCAGAGAAATTAGTGAATACACAAAGCAGTTTAGCCCTATTTCTATGTTAACTATTTCCAACTGGACTCATTCAAGATTTAGAGGATACATTTCTGCAGACCCTGAACCCTGAAAGATTTCCCCATATGAATCAGTTATTATTCATGCTACCTACCTAACCTTCCTTTATTTGTACTGCAGCCTTGTCATTAGGGATGAAATATAATTTAGATATAACTGAATTAATGTCAATGCAGCGTCCTTCTCCCAATCTCCTCACCTCTTCCTGACAGCTGTTGCCAGTTCTCCAACCAGGTCCCGATGAGGACCTACATCCACTGAATTCCAGTTCCAAGAGCCTGCTGAGGGCCAGTTTGTGAATCCTTCATGGTGTTTGGATGTGAATACCACATACCTGTAAATACATGTACGCATAAATGCCCATAGACATTTCTGTGACAAGGAAGTGATCAGGTATTCTTTGTGTGTTGGTTTGACTTTGGAGAAACACTGATTATTATATGCTGAATAATGGAGATGTATATTCTTATTATTATGCACTTGACAACGCTTGCAAGGAAGCATATGCATCAGAATCCGAAATACTTTAATAATCCCAGGGGGAAATTATTTTTGTTACAAACTCCAGATATTATACAAACAACATATATTAAGAACAATATATATATATATATATAAAAGATCAAATGTACAGTAATAATGTGCAAAAACTGTGTGTGGCTGTAGTGAGCAAACACTTATGACAAAAGAGACTTGCTGCAGTCAAAACCCAACTCAAATAACAAAAAGCGTACAGCAGGTTTGTGCACATTTTTACGGCCCTAGGTGAACAACTGTTGATAGAAGGAAGAGATCTGATGATCATACCTGGCTCCAGAGGCTTTGAAAATCTCTGCCCAGCTATCCGGGTCGAAGAATTCTGCATGAAAGTCAGGCGCAAAATCTGTGTATTTAAAGCCCGGAGGGTAGTTCTTCTGCATGAACTCAACTTCTTCTGGGCGCTTTTGGGACTGCCACCAGTACCAGAACCACTCACTATACTGCCCGAACCCAGGGACCGAGAAGACCCCCCAGTGGACGAAAATCCCAATCTTTGCCTCGTCAAACCACTTGGGCAGAGGTCGAGCATCCAGACTGGTCCAGTTTGCTGCATAGCGCGCTGTACATCCAGATCCCAACATAAGAAGGGGAATTAGGTAAATCAAAGGAGTAATGTATGAAGGCTGCATTGGAAGTGGCATTATTCCTCCTGAGTAAGGCTAAGGTCCTGTGCCAGTTGCGAAACTCTTACTACTTGCATACACTCTGACACGGCAGGTGACTCTACCTCTCTACCTCTATGCGTCTGTCAGTTAGACTCATATAGGAGTCACGTGACTGTCACCTGACTGAATGTCACTTGTAGTCTGGCAGCCAAAGTCTCAAAAATGGGTTGAACCTGACATGGTCTGCCATACTTTTTATTTGTGTTTCTGTTAACTTTTACCCTAAGAACCAATAATTGGAGGGTCTGCTCTGCCAGAAACATTGCGAAAACAAGTTGTGGCCATTTTAGTGTATGTACCCTTCATTTTTTATCAGAAAAACATGTGGCGACAACATCCAATGAAAAAATAACTCTTAAAACACATTTCTACATGATTTTGGCCCAATTTAATGCAAAACAAATGTCTCACTTTTTTCCAATATTTTCATCTTTACTTCATTGGCAATCAACTATTCCCCCAAAGACTTAACTTAAATTATTTTGTTCTGTTAAAGTTGTAATAGTTGTCATGAGGCAATAAAAAAAAAAGCATTGCTGTTTATGTTCGGGACACATTCCATGGGAGAAAGGGTTATGTTGAAAAAAAGACCTGCCATGAATTAATAATGGGACAAACAACCATGTAAATATCAAAGTAGTCTTTCAGAATCTTAGCTTATTGGCAATCCAATAGTAGAGAAAATCACAGCCTAATGTTTGATGAGTCATAACTTGGGGAATATTATGCCAATAAGTAAAGTGATTAATAAAATGGGCCAAAATCCTGTAGAAATGTGTTTTAAGAGTTATTTTTTCATTGGATGTTGTCACCACGTGTTCTGTGCATCTGGAATGCATTGATTGACAGCTTACCCAACCCACTGAGGATTTGAGGGGAAAAAATCATTTTTCACATTTTTCTGATAAAAAATGAAGGGTACATACACTAAAATGGCCACAATTATTTTTGCAATGTTTCTGGCAGAGCAGACCCTCCAATTATTGGTTCTTAGGGTCAAAGTTAACAGGAAAAAAAAACTAATAAAAAGTATGGCAGACCATGTCATGTTCAACCCATTTTATTGAGCTTTCGAGACTACTGACTGCTGATGTGGGAAGGGCAAACTGTGTAATCACCCTCTGGTGGTACAATTCCTGCACAAGAGAAATGGCTTGAATCAAACTATATCATCCATCCCACTTCATTTTTAATGGGTATTTACTGATTTAGTGCAATTCCAATAAAAAACAAACAAAAAAAGAATTTTATTTGATCTCTTTATACATTGTAAGGTAGTCAGTTGCAAAAGCCTGTGATTGTATTGACTTCTGGCAGGCACAGATTTCTGATCACTGAATGATAATTTGTCTGTAGTAGTGGCTCAACCACAAGAGGGCGGCAAAGGGCACGTTTGTTTTTCCTTGACGCAAATCCATGACAAGCAGCAGGAAAAAATATATCAACAGATTAGAAAGTATCTACATGTAAAAAAAAAAATACACATAAATTAACAAGTTGTGATAAAGGGAATTTAGTACACAATTACACAACACATTTATTGCAACAACACCCAAAATGGCCCCATTATAACCACAGAGATTGATGTATCTGTGAACTGTAATCTTTTTGGACAAAACAACAGGCTGTAACAGGTTACTTTGTCTATCGTCTGTAAAGTTAAGAAAAATCCATAAAACTTTGACGACTACATTCTGTTCATGTACAGTACATACAGCAAAATTGGGATTTGATTAACTTTGCAATGACATGTGCAGGGAATTTTAAGACCACATGTATGATACAAAACAAACAAAACACTGAATCTAAAATCACTGGAGCACAATATCTCCAACAGTAAAACAGACACATTTTCTCATTACAAATGAGTCAATAGATAGGGTCATCTTACAGCAATAATGTAACATCAATAACAGTATGGCCACGGTTAACTCGAACAGTAAAAACGGTTCTTCTCCAAGTACAGTGGGATTCACAGTGTGTGACCTACATCAGTACAGACAGCCAGCTGCCTTTCAAGCATCTGTTTCTCTACCAAGTCCTCCACTCTGCCAACCTCCACTTCATCCACGTCATCCATAAAATTGGACCAATCCGTACCCCCGTCCACACGTTCCATCGACTCTGGTTGGTTGGCGGGGTGAACAGGGGCGGAATCGTCATGAGTGGTGGTCACGCAGTTGCAGCTGTCGCAGATGCCAAAGCGCCTGAGTCCTGGTGAAACGCTCGATCCAGTGAAGGTTCGCCTGCAGCTCTTACATGAAACTGGCCAGTAGTGTCTGTGGACCTGTCAATGGTCAGCAGTGACACAGACAGCACAATGTGAGTCATTCTGCACAGGCAACACCAACATTTAGATTACTGGAGGAGACGAATAACAATATAGGAGCCAAAAGATTTACTGCTCTCATTATACTTCCTTCACTGCACACAAAACACAAACGACAGGGAACAAAGAACTGAATTTAACAACACTACAGCTCTCAATTAAAGAGTGAGGCAGCTAATTACTGTTTACAACTAACTGCTAGCAATTACTTGCTGGCTATAACTCATTTTGTACAACCATGTTTGTAATCTATTATTGACTATGCAATTCTACTACAACAAGGACAAAATACAACTGTAAGTAACTGTAAGTAGTTAATCTGTAAAGTACAACAACAGGACAGATAATTGCCACTGTGCAACTCCCTACAACAATTAAAATTAAAAATGGGTTTAAAAGTGATTTTGCTAATAAAAAAGGAAACTTTAATTTTAAATTGTTTTCAACAAGTGAGATCACTTTCTGTACGACAGTTGACAACATATGGCTGGCCATGACATTCTTAGATTGCTTTAATATTTAAAAATGATAACTCACATTTCAAACACACTTGTAATTCGCCAAGTGGGTTGTCTGACAAAGTGGACACATTTTGGATAGCAATTGGAAAAGGTCATTAATAAGTTCAAAAACACAGAAAAGAGACTGAACTATGGGTTTTAGTTGAACAGGCCATGTAATGAAAACAGCTCACCACTTAAGAGACTGTAGGTAGGCTGGAAAACAAGGCAAATAGTAGTTGTATAACAACTTATTCAACTTACTTCTGTATCAGAGTCTTAGACTGAGAGGTCTACATATCAAATCCAGATGGCACAACATGATATAAATCTAGGCTGACTATCTGACAGTCACACTGAGTTCTTACACTGAGGGCGTGGCTGCGAAGGTGCTCCTGTCTCGTGAACCTCTTGCCACACATTGGGCAGGGGAAGGGCCTCTCTCCCGTGTGGCAACGGATGTGTCTCTTCATGATTCCCTTCTGCTTGGCAGTGTACGGGCAGAATGGACACTTGTGGAGTTTCACTGGCACTACCAAACCATCGCCTGCAGGGGGAGAGAGAGGCCAACACTTCAGATTTACCTCACCAGGAAAACACTGCAAAAAGAGTGTGCTGCCTTACTTTTCTGATTGAGAGTGTGCAAGCCTACAGAGAAACGTATGTCACCCTAGGCCATTTCCATTAGCTTAGATTGATCTTGCCAATTACCTGTGTCCTCTCCAAGCCAATCAGACTGGATCTCCATTATAGAAGATCCCACAAACCCTAAACCTTCATCCATTCTGCCTCCTTCTGTGCTGCTACCTAGTCCTTGAGTAAAGCGCTGCCCCACTCTGTCCCCAAGAGGACTGGGGCCTTCACCTCTGGCCAGAATCTCAATCAGCTGCCTGGCATTAAAGGAAGGGCTGTATCCTAAGGGAGAGCGCTCATTGGAGGGGGAGGGACTTGGCGGAAGTAGCCTGCTATGATGAGGGTTATGGAGAGAGGGCCCAGGATATGAGGCCAGGTCTTTGGTGTCAGGGGGACTCCATAAGCTCCTCATCTGGGTCGTACTCTATCTTAGGGTTCACTAACTCCGGGGTCAAAGCAGACGATGAGGAGGATGAGAGGTTGGTCTGATCCATGTGTCCCTTCTGTCCTTCGCTCACAGGTCCAAATTCCTCCCTGGAATGGTAGTCACTGTCCATGTCCCTGCTGCTGCCTGGAGCTGTGGTGACAGGGATAGATAAGGGGGTTCTAGCCGAGCTCACAGACTCCGGACCTAAACCCGACCCTCTATCTGCCTCTGCAACCTGTGATGGAGGCTCCGCAGCCTCCGCGCCACTGGGGATTGTCGCAGCAGGAGTGCCGCTGTCTGCAGGACCAATCCCTCCATCCTGTGCCTGGCTCTCCTTCTCTGTGTTCCTCTCCTTCTCCTTGTTGCATATTTCCAAAGATGAGCGGATGTATCCCTTACAAAAGTTGACCAGATCGGTCATCTGCAGGTAGCTGGCTGCTGACATCACCTCAATGACATTGCTTCTGTTCAGCGCCAGGCGGCCGGAGTAAAGGAAGTCCAGGATAATTGAGAAGGCATCAGCTGTCACGATGTCCAACGATGCTGTGCTGTAGCGCTGTCCGTTATCCTGGAAAGATGTATAGATACAAATATTTTGAGAAATTCAACACAATTTAGGACTTAATTTACTTAAAAAAATTGTAAAACTAAAAATAAATCAAATCTAGTTTTCCTTTGTCATTTTTATATATGCCTTACTTGAAATGTTTTTAACAATAATAAGATTTAGAAGGAGAAGCAGTGCAATTATCTTGGCATGCTTCATCTAACAGGTCTTTGGGATCAGTATCTCATGTACATATCTTATGAGTGGGATGCCCTACCTTGACAAAATCAGCAATTGATTGATTGATTTTACTGAAGTCTTTATCCGACACAGGAAAAGAAACAACAAGCAAAAATCCCAAGTAGTTGTCCAGTTAGTTGTTTTTAACATATTAAGGCATTAAAGCAACCACTGATAACATAATAATGAATACATTATCTTTGTCAAATCCTTCCATTTGTTTCTAAGAAGCAGCGCCCAACACTTGCCCACCTCTCCCAGAAAAAAACCACTTGAGGAGGCACAGATATCAGCTGTTCTCACCTGCAGATAGTGAACCAGAAGAGCCCGGAAATAGCCACTGCCAGCAAACAACACATTCCGATGGGCCTTGAAGACCCGGCCTTCGACCAGAATGCTGCAGTCACAGAAGAAGTCTCTCTTACGCTGCTCATTGAGCTCAAACAGCAGTTTGGGCAGGTAGCAAGGCACATCCATGTCTACACCTCAGTGAGCCCTGCCAGGGAAAAGGGAAGAGAGGGACAATAACTTCAGGATGTGTTGATATTGGACTTTGTGGTTCTTTCTCAACCTTGTTAACGTATACCAATGTAACATCTACAGTCCTGTGTGTGTGTGTGTGTGTGTGTGTGTGTGTGTGTGTGTGTGCATGAGAGAAAGCTTCACCAAAGAGTTAACGTGATGATCTAATACACATTCAGTTTGTTCGCAGTTTTATTCACTACAGTTTAATCCCAGAAAAGACAACAACGCTTAAACATACAGATGTTAAACCAAATGTGTACGCGGTTTTTCCAGAGGAAATGAAAACAGAAGGGGGAACTGTCACATCGCTCTTTGTTTTGGCTTCCAGGCTAACTTGTGTTGCTAGCGCCGAACAGCTAAGTTAGTGACACACACCACACCGACTGCACGTAACGACGCATGCTGACACACACTGAGACACAGGGACATATAACACGGTCTCACCTGTATAATGACGCGACTGAGGGTGAGGAAACATTTATCATGACACAAATATTGATATTGGCCAGGCTCATTCTTCCGTGTCCACAACAACTTCCGGCTTCATCAAGCGGTGTCGTTTTTCATTTGTCCAATCAGTGGCCGACGGGGGCGTACCCCGGATGGCCTCTGAAACTGTACTGTAAACTTCAATGTGGGTTCAGTGACCAGCATGTTTGTATAGTGCCTTATTACTGGGCGGGAGAGAGGAACAGTGGTGGAAATGAACTAAATACAATTATTAAAGTACTGTTTACTTCAGTATTCCCTTTTTCTTCTATGAGAGGGTAATAGTAATACATTTATGTGATAACTACAGTTACTAGTTACTTTGCAGATTCAGATGAAACGTGGGTTTAAGCAATTCTAGGTATTGCAATTCTAATCCAATACACTTTTTTTTTCCAAATTCAGTGAATATTTCCTTAAAAAAAAAAAAAAAAAGGTAAAAATCTGGCTCTGAAAATGGGAAACAAACAAACAAAGTGGATTGGACCGAGCCACATAACTCTAACCTGTTATATCCAGTAATGTGAAATGACGTGGCCACAGACGTTTCACTTACTTTCATGTTTACTCATCCTCTCTGCATGTTGGATGCACAGCAGCTGCTTTACCCACCCACAACCTACCCATGTAATGCTAGTTACATTACTCACTGTGTCGCTGCTCACACTAGATCATGGTATTTGTAATAGTATTGGATCGCCTTACCCCATCTTACCCCACCAAATTAATGACATTAAGTTTGAAATAAATGTTAGCATAGGACTCTAGCTCAGTAAGTTTTCAGTGTAAAAAAAACATCATGGTGCCAGCCTTCATTTGCTACAGGATGGTTAGGCCTGTCTCATACTATGTGGATATTGTCCACTGGGGTGGCTGTTGCTCAGCTGGTAGTCGCGAGACACAGAAACAAATTAATTGAATTAAAAGAAAGTTTAAACAATATGCATTACGTACCTGATGTGATCAGCTGTGATCAAAAAAACAACCTATAGTGGTACCGTTGTAGATCTCTAAAATAAGTCCAACAGGACACTTCAAAAAACCTTCAATTGATCATACTGACATTCAGAGGAAAGAAATATAAAATACCGCTATAATTCATGATGTGATAAAAAAGAATATTAATCAGACTTGCTCAGATTATATTAGTTCTTGCCTGGCTTTTTTCACTTCAGAGCAAAATCTTTTTATCATTAATTAGTCAAAAATATCCAAGTTTCTTAATCCCTGTTGGATACATGATGGTAATTATGTGTTTTTAAAAGTAAAATGTTGTCTTTACTCTTAACTTCTATGAAGTTCGAGTTGTGTCTGCCTCTTTCCATTGCAGAAACTCATTGATAGTGACGACGACGATGATGATGGTGATGATGTTGTGGGGAAGAACGTCAAAGTGTCACCCTCCTTCTCATACCAAGTCCATCATGCCGCTGCACAACAGCAGGCGGCTGACGCCTGCCCACGTTGTCTGCTCAAGAATACTTGTTTATTTGCCTTCCAGTTCGGAGAGAAAATAATTCCTTTTTTTATTTTCGGACATAGCAAGAGTAAACAAGTAGTTCCTTCAGCGCTGCGCCACACCCTCTCAGCACAATCCACAGCTCTTAGAAGTGTTTTTACACTGATGGGTGCCGACCAAGCGACTTATTTGTTTCAGATATTTTCCCATGGCAAACAGGGCGAATACAAAGGCTTCGTGGTGGCCTGGGGAAACCACAGGGTAGGCGTACATGAGCCTCCATACTCACCCTCTTTTGAAAATGAAATTTATGGCACCTCATAAAAACTCTATTCACGCTTATAAGCACTAAATATAAACTAGTATAAACCAGCAGGGTTTGAGTCAGTCCTTGTAAACTTGACCTGATGGAGCGTTGTGTCCGGCTGCAGGCAGGCCAACCGCCGGCTGACCCAGCTGCCCAGCCCTAACACAAGTCTATCCCAACGCAAACGCTGAAACGGGTTGAACTCTGACGTAGCTTCTGGTTGCTGACCTTCTTCTCGCTCTGACTCAGGGAAACACAGGGCCTTTGTTTTGGTCCTTTGTTGACATAAGGGCAGGAAACTCCCTCTCCACAGACGTTTCACAGCCAAGCAATCATACTGGAGTTTGTACAATACTGCCCTATCTGTGTGGCAGTTTAATGCTAGTTTACACCCAGCAACCCCTTAGGAACAAATAATATTCATGATTTATGATTGGGTTTTGGCTTACGCCTATGATTATAATGGTGTATGATTTACTGATTGAAGCCCAGTCTAAAAAGCAAATAGACGTAGCGATGGCTGTTATGTAAGGCTGCATCCAGATTTGGGACCTCACTCATTGTGTGTGTTAGCCACTGTGAGACCCACGGCTGGCACAGAGGGCTCCAGCAGCACCCCTCTGGGTCCCTGTGGTCTGCGCCTCAGCACATAACAGCCACTTAGGCCGGCATTTTCCCAGGCTGAGACAACACACCACGGTGGCAGCGCGAGCCACAGAGAGGGCCTGATTAAAGAGTAGGGACAATGGAGGGAGAGAGACCGTGGTGGCATTTTCCATCTCCGCCGCTGTCTCCTGGGGGGACCAAGTATGTGCCGTGAAACGTTTGAATTATCCCAGAATCTCTGGAATTCAGACAGAGGCACCGCGGAGAGGACCCTCGACCGGGGATCAAAGAGCTTTGAGAGGAGTGCGGTGGACTGGTGGTGAAGTCGAGTACATAGAGGAGTGTGAGTGTGTGTATGTGTGCACATGCTTGTGTGTTTCAGAAAACTGACTTGAAACAGATAAAGACAATGTTTGAATTTGAATCATATTTTCTTTTATGGCTACATGTCTAAAGATGTTTAAAAAAAAAAGCCATGTTTGACTTCTGAGGAGGCAGTCAACATTGAGCAATGAAATACAGGCATGTGGTGTGTGTGTGTGTGTGTGTGTGTGTGTGTGTGTGTGTGTGTGTGTGTGTGTGTGTGTGTGTGTTGCTGTCCTTTTATCCCTCATGGGATCAGATAATGCAATCATGGCCAATCATTGGGAGTCTAATACAGCGGGCGCCCCTCTTTAGTTTGGAGACGCCACTCTCCTCTGTGGTGGCAGAGGAAGAGGAAGAGAAAAGCGAGAGGGGGAAACCTCGTCCCTCTCTTTTTGTCTATCTCTCTCTGTAATTATCACTTAATGTTCTTCGGTGATCTGGAGACGTCTGTCTTTTGCTGTCCTTTCTTCCCTCGCTGGAGAGGAAATGTATCACAGTCTGAAATAAAACTGCCAGCCTTTTTATTATTGTATATTTAGCACCAGAACAGAGTAGTAAATGGAGCCCTCCCAGACCACAAGCTTCCGGTAGCGCAGGGCCTCAGCGCTGGCTGGCTGTCTTTGCCACAGCCAAGTCCAAAGATCAAAGCCTCCTGTACTATATACAGTTAGCTAGTCGTCCTCAAGCATTGACCTCAAGCAAGTTTTCATGTCTGAGAAAGACAGCGTGTGTTTGTGCATGAGCTACATGCAGGGTGTATAGAATTAGTTCACTACACAAGTATGCCTTTCAGAGAGCCAGTTTTGCATGAACATCTGTGGTGTGTGCTTTTCTGAATATGTGTAAGCGCTTTCATGTCTGTCTGTCTGTCTGTCTACGTCCATATATCTCTGTGCTGGGAGCTTTGTCATGACATTGTCTTGTGTTTGTTTGATGTAAAAAAAATGACAGCATTGCGTTTACATAAAAAATTTAAGTTGTGGCCTGGGAAGTTGTGTCGTGGCATTCAATGAACACAATTAGCATCACATATGATCTGGTGTATTTTTCCCAAACAGTGGTTCTTGTAACCCAGGGGTACTTCCTAAGTTGGCAGCGGGTCCAAGAAAGACTCTTAACTAAATCAACTAAACTCAACTACTTGTGATATAAAATATATATCCACATGTTTGAGTTAAGAAGTAAAATAGAAGAAAAACAGGAATATAAATAGGTGTGATAAAGAGCTGTAATATATTTACAACACGCAGAGAACTGCCCATGAAGATCAGTTGTAACATGCTACACAACTGAGTGTGTGAAAATAGCTGGCAAGCAAGCAGAGAAGTTGAACTCAAGCAGAAAGTAGAAATAGTTAAAAATAAAAATTACAGTTAAAATGGATGTATAAAAATAATGAATACAGTTAGTTAAAAGTCAAGGGAGAACAGTTGAAATACTTGGCTTAAAGTCATTCTTATCTAGCTAACCTAAACATTGTCAATTAAATTGTATTTTTTTTAAATTTAGCAATGACCATTTTAATGCAATTAATAGTGTTTAATAATATTCACTTTATAATCCATTCATAAGTGGGCAGTCGGGTATGTCACACAAAAAAGAATGGGAACCACTGGGACAGAGCCATATGACTCTTTCACTAATACACAGTATTTAAGTTTATAGATCAGCAGAACTGATCCAATCAATTAGTTTTAATGAACAACGCAGACTTAGTGTGGTGACAGTAAAAAAGAATGCAGACAGAATCCAGATTCAGTGTTCAGTACATCCATAATTTCTAGTTCTAGTCATTTTTAATTATAAAAGCCTCAATCAAGACCAATAAAAGTTGCACCAACTCCCTCAGGACATGAAAATGATGGTCGTCATTGCCTTCATCCTTCCCCCATCAAATTCTTCCTTTATTTCCCTGCACACTCACTGTAATCCCCCTTCTGGGAACGCTAAAAATTACCCCACAGTGCGGTGGCGGCAAGTTTTTATGCTGGTTTTTAGGGGCTTATGCCTGCTCCTCGGAACGAGGTGTCGGCTGGATGCCTCCCTGATAAGGCCGTAATCTGAGGTGTAAAGTTATAAGAGGGATTTGGGAAAGTGAGAGGCTGTCAGAGAGCAGCAGCCAAGGGTGTCTGGGGCAGCGTTTAACAGGGATGGACGACCACCTCCTCGGTTTACGACTCTGTGAGCGCTTCTCCTGAACCAACCTGGTATCCAATTAATCCACATCTCTCAGTTTCAAGCTGAATGGGGAACAGATGCATGTGTTTTTTCAAATACATTGTTGTCATGTACAGTTTGCTTTCCTTTCAGAATTGCAAGTTCCTACACT